GTCATAGTATCCCAAAACGGCTAAAGGATACCTGCTCTACCACCGAGGCAACGCCTTTCAGCTTCAGCTCAGGAAACGAATGACCATCTGCACTTGCTTTTTCCACGCCACAGCTGCTGGATAATGGACAACATGTCCAGAAAAATTGGTGGTCATACAAAACCTAAACCCTGAATCCTTTTTCAGCACGGACTGATGTGCCGGCTTAAATCCTAACCCTAAACCCTACATCCTAAACCCTAGATCCTAAACTCTAAACCCTACACTCTAAACCCGAAACCCTGCACTCTAAACCCTCAAGCCTAAACCCTCCTCATGACTGCTTAGAAAAGAGGGTGGGGCCTTCTCTTGTCCCACCGGAAGTGTGGGGCTTCGCGCCCCTCACAAACCCGCAGGGTTTAGGGTTGAGGGGAGTTAGAGGGTTTGAGGTTTAGGGGCGTTATGGTTTAGGGGAGTTAAACGGGTTTAGGGTTTAGGGGAGTTATAGGGTTTAGGGTTTAGGGGAGTTATAGGGCACGGTTTAGGGTTGAGGGGAGCTATAACCGGATCCTTGCAGGGTCCTAGAGTTTAGGGAAGTTATCACCGGATCTTTAACATGATTTCAAGTCTCTGTTTGAGTGCACCGGGCTTATAGGAGTCGCGAACATCCCACAGGCAATTCGCCGCATCGTGTTGCAACTCCTTGGGCTCGACATATGGGAGTTTCCCAAAACTAGCGGGACCTTATTTTGGGGTGCTTATAAGTAGGGTCCCACTATCTAGGGTGCTACATTGGGGTCCCCTGTTTTGGAAACTCCACTATCCTGGCTCAGTTAAAAGAGCGCCTCCCGGCCAAGCCCCTAGACCCTACACCGTAACCCTAAACCCTAAACCCCTAACCCTAAGCCCCTAGCGGGCGGCTGGGCTTCTGAACACACCTGAGCTTGAGCCCGTTTCGGTCCGTGATGATGTTAAAATAGGGGCCTTGCTAAAGAATGCAGTACCTTAATCTTGGTTTTCGTAATTATGTACCCCAAAACCCTGCTCCAATATTCAGGCCCCTATCTTACACCGCGGGCCTTCCCCCACCGATTGTGAAGCTGGGGCTGCCTTGCGGAGTTCTTGCTGCAGCGCCTAATTCAAGCTATGTCTGTGGTTTCTTGACGATGCAGGAGGCCGAGGGGCTTTTATTCCACTATCATGCTTAAAAATAAAGTTTAGGGTTTAGGGTTAGCGGCTCTGGTACAGGCGGTGCAAGACTCCTCCAGCTTTTGCATGGCAGCCCTGCAGGGTCACAAACAGCGTGTGATCACGCAGGAACTACCTGGTGATGAAAACTTCAAGACGAGAATTATGAGGCCCTTTCCGCTCTTGTCCCACGGGAGGTGCGGGGATTTGAACCCCTCCTCTCCGCTGGAGATGAAAGAACTGCCACCAAAGCCGAATACAACCACTTGCATCAGAGATATCCCTTACAAGATAAAGGGAGCCTTCATGTAATGAAGACGTACATTGCTTACTCTATTAAGTTCAAGGGTATTGTGTTCTCTGGGTGAGTGGGCGTCGCTTGCAGGAGTCGCGAAGATCCCACAGATACTTCGCCGTCTGGGCCCTGCACCGATACTCGTTGTACTGGCAGGAATTTACTCCCTCAATAGAAAACTTCAAAGCCAAACAAGATTTGCTTTTCGGGGTTAGGGGCTGGCTTTGCTGTAGGTTCGTGCTTTACTCGAATGAAGGATACAGCTCCAAATTCCTCACATCTCTACATTATCCTCCACCCAAGATGTGAACAGGGGAAGGTCGAACAACGAACACCTGTAAAGCCCAAATAAACCCGAGTGCCAAAACTTTAAAACCTAAGTCAAAACCAATTCAGACCCCATTGCGATTCCTGCGGCTCGTCATTACCAGGGCTGAGGACGGCAGTGCAGCGGAATGCCTAAGGACTACCTCCCCGCTCAGTGCTTGGCGGGAGAAGCCACGGAGCTTGAGCCCGTTGCGGTCTTGCTCAGGAACTGAACTGGGCTGGCCTTTAGAGCCCATTGAAAATCATTAGTATATATAGGCAACCCAATAAGGAAAATATTCAAATAACCCAAAGGCCTACCCAGTGAAACCACCATAATCATGACAGTTTACCACTCGATACTATTCGCTGCAGGTCCCGAACACGGCAACCTACGAGCCGAAACCCGTAGCAAGAGCCGAACTGTGGCAGAAGCGTCTGGACGAGGTAGGAGACTAAAGACCATGCATGACGGTTGGCGGAGTTCAACGGGTGTGCGCGAAATTAACGCGCGCAACTTACTCCTCCAAATCCCAGCGCACTAAAAGTATGTGCTTTGTGTGTGGCCACAACTACATATATATATATATATATACATATATATATATATATATATACACAAGTATTTATATATATATATATACACATATGCGTGGGTGTGTATCAGCCTTTGATGCATATACATTACAGTAAATAAGACAGCACATCATGAATGTCCATACATTTCGTATCCTTGCAACATGTACATATCCACAGGTAGCCTGTGGCATGTACCCATGCGTAATGATTCAGAGCATTGGATGTTGTTTGTATTGAACATGATAAATTCAATTCTTACCCAAACTGTGTGGCAATACAAGGGCCTTAACCAATTATAACCCTACTTATAACCCACTTACTAAGTCCCTAAACCCTAAACCCCATAGATCCCGTTTAAGGAACTTATAGATCCCTTTAAGGAGCCCTACTTACTAAGTCCCCTGCCCTTCCAAGTAGGGCCTCCGTACTCTTGGGTGTGAGGAGACCTCTCTCGCGGCGTCCTCCGAAAGGCGCGGGGAAATTCCCTTGATAAACTGTGCAATATCGGTGCCTTAATAATTAGAATCGGGTTTTTGATATATTCTAGTGTATTTGAAATATAACACCAGGCCAGAATAGTATTGGTTTGTATTTATGCCCCTGTGTATAGTAGTTCTCAGATGAAGGGAGGGTCCCTTATAGGGCCCAGATATGCCCAGATATAGTACGGCACCCTTATAAAAAGGATCCTTAAACCTAGCTCAGAAAACGGCCCAAATTGGAGACGTCAATGCATCGGCCTCATTTTGGCATCGAAATGTTGAATCCCAGCAGTGCACAGCGGGGTAGCATGCGACTCCATCTCTAAATTCGTCAACTCGCTGTGGGAAGCCTTTTCGGCCGTGGTCGTGAAGCCTGCGAACATAGCGGGAAGCATGTTGGTCGTGATCCTGAATCCCGCGAGTACATTGGATAGCTCATTTTGGCCGTGGCCTCCTGGTGATGTCCTGTTGGTTTGCCGGTGGTTTCTTAAACCCTAAACTCGAAAACCCTAAACCTACACTCTGAAGGCCTTGTTGGGCTTTTTCGGTTGGATCAGACTGCGGAACGACCAAGGGACCACCCGACCACGAGGAGACCACTACGAACCAACCGGAAGCCACCACGAAACTAATATCAGGGCCTTTTTTTTGCCTCCTGCAATATCAGGGCCTTAATGATTAGGGTTTTGGAGCGCATTATACTATAGTTATATTAAGGAACCCCCAAACTAGTGTAGGTAATTATTTCAGGTTTAGGGCCCCTACAGTACCAAGACACGACGACCAAAATCTGTCAACCCCGTTAAAGGTGGGAGACAGACCCACGAAAATCATGTCTAGGGTTGAGGGTTTAGGAGTTTAGTCATGTTTTCCCTTATGTATACTGGCGATGTTCAGGACCCCGGCCACAATGCTTCCCCGAGTCTAGTGATGGCTTCCGACATGCCCGAACGCATCCAATCATGTGCTGGAGGGATTCAGAAAACAACAAACCTGCTTCCTTCCTATGCAGTACAGCAGGATTCAAACATCTAGATGCCAAAGTGAAGCCAGTGTACTGTAGCGGTACACTGACCCGCAATTTCCTGAGGACCCGGCCGAGCCGGGGATTGTGTAAATCATGGGACATGAGCGCGAAATATGCATGGCACCACATGCACTGGCTGGGAGCCCCGCTCTTGACTCCCAGCATAGGACACCATGAATAGAGTATACAGTGTCTGGGAACTATAAACTTTACAGTATACATCTAATAATTACGATGGTCAAGTACGCATAACTTTCATTGTTGATTGAATATGTACGTCTCTATATATGCGTATAATATATATATATATATATACATATAGTGTCTATGTTATTAACACAATACTATGGCCACCCGCAGCGACAGCACAAAAGTCCAAAAGGCCCGTCTTGGAGGAGTAAGTCAACATTTGAATTGAAAGCATCACGCAAAGCTATTGGAAACCTGCGAGGGTCTCAATGCGAGATGACATATTCAGAAAATTGGAAAGCGCTTCGTGATGGCTGCAACTGGGATATCCAACGTGATCACAACGCCACACACTAAACCTAAACTTACCCAACTTCCTGCGACCATCATCACTACAACAATGTACAGTTTCGAGTTTAGGCTGCAGGCAACTTTACACCTTATGCAGGGGCCTCAATAATTAGAATAGGGCTTGGAGGTACATGATATTATACTACCAATACAATAAGGAACCCCAAAACCCTTTTCTAACTAAGGTCCGTACATTAAGCCAACTAGCTGCTCAGGCTCGATTTCAAGCGAAGCGCACATTTGCCAAAGCAAAGCCAGGTACCAAGCTTTGCACAGAGGCCGTTTTCGTTCGAATAGGGTTTATAGGGTTAAGGGTTCTGAGGTAGATGAAGGAACCCTGCCAAGGAATTGCATTATGAGTTACTAAGTTACTAGTTAGCTCACTGTACGTCCTCTGTGAAAACTGCCTGCACGGTTCGGGGATGACCGATCGTGGTCCAAGGGCACATTCTCAGGCACAGCGGGAATGCCAACTCCGATGCAAGCTCGCAACACCTAAAGATGACCTTTTGGACGCTGTCTCTCTGCAAAGCCTAATACCTAAACCCTAAACCCTAAACCCTACTAAACAATGCACAGCACATCCCTCGCTGCAAGTGTGCGTTCAATTACCCATGATCTGCATGGCTCGCCGGAGGGAAACAGCCCCCTCGGCGATCGCCAGGGCCTCCACCGTCTCGCGATGGGAGCCATCGACATCCTGGGTTCTGGTTACTTAGGGTTTGAGGTTTAGGGTTTCGGAAAGTTTATGGGGCTTAGGGAAGTTGTCACACCCACGAAATCCCAATATGTTCCATAGATCCGCACCATGGCAACATAACTCAAGTTCCTTAACAAGAACCCAGCATCTGCTTTCCTCGCGATCTCAAGCGCCGTGCGGCCCCGGGATGTCTTCCGCTTGGGATCTGCTCGCGCCATGAGGAGAGACTTCACGATCTTCTCGTGGCCAAGCTTGGCCGCGACATGCAGAGGGCACATGCACTCTGGCCTCCTGAAGAGAAAACAGCCACTGGAACTGGGCACCTGCTTCTCGTTCACATCCATGTCCCGAAAGTTGTAGAAATGCAGCCAAGAGCTTATCTGATTCAATGCCTTCATCTGCACCCGCTCCCTCCTTGTAAGATGGGCCATCCAGTCAATGTCAACGTTCTCATCGTCAACTGGCTCCTGGTACTAAAACAGCGGCGGGTGTGTGGCATCTTCAAGCGGTATGCCACATGCTATACATGTCAGTATATCCACACACCTAAACTTTTATATGGTTTATACACTTGTAATCTCAGTATCCTACTTGTCGGGTATCATGGGCAACTTTAGGTTAACCTTTTCGGTTACATAGGGATTATATAGGGACTATACTACCCAAAAAAGGTTGCCTACTCGACCATCTTTCTCGAAATCCCAACAAACCCTACACTCTAAACCCTGAAGCCTTAACCCTGAAAGCTCTAAACCCTGAATCCTAAACCCTAAACCCTTTCCTAGGGTATACTGGGACTCTAGCAAGCGAGGCCTTGATAAACCCCTGTTCGGACCCCTTCCTACTGTTGATGGACAAAATCCTGCATGACCCTAAGGACTCTACACTATGGGAACTATGGTAGATTCCTTAAAAAGGGTAGTGCAGGATTTTGTCCATCAACAGTATCTCACCACGTCCTTCTCGTACTGCTCTGTGGGCCATCGACTTTCCAACTTCGGTGCAGGTATGATGGCCTGGCCCTCATCAAAGATGACGCAGCCCGGAATGCTTGTGGAGGTTCCGGCATGGGCACACAAAGCCATGACTGAGGACACTACAATGCCCCGAATTGCAAAAACAAATTGCGCTTCAGCCAAAATAGCTACCTTTTTACAGGCTTATATAAGGAACCCATCCTAAGGAATCCAAAAAAGTTACCACTAAAACCCCGAGCTTCGGGTGGTTTAGGAAATGCACGTCTTCAGGGACCCTGAAACCTGCAACCCTCAAACCCCTTGGCCCTCAAAGAAACTCCCTACTGTAGGGCCACAATAACTAGAATAGGGTTCCTTGAAAGGGTTCTTATAAATGCTTTAAGGGTTATTTTGGGGGATCTATAAGGGTACTATAACTTAGGGTCCTTAATGATTAATTAGGGTGGTTTTGGGGTATACTGTACCATAATTAGAACAAGGAACGCCCAAAATGGTGTACGTAAGTGTTTAGGCCCCTAGAGTAGGCCCATGTCACACCTTGATACATAAACCTCAGTCACTGCGTCAGAAGTTACAGCTTCTACATGGTCATATACAGTTTGCTATATGTATATATATATATATTCATATTATGCTGTGCTGTATCTATGGTGTGTACCGAATACACGGACTCAGGGGATATTAGTACTAGGTGTCCCGGCCTCTGTAGTAGATTTCACGGGTCTTTCTAACTCAGAGATGTGCTCTGAACTATGTTGTAGTCCCCTTCCTGCCTGACGAGTGCACCGTGCATTACACCCGCGGCCCCACATGGAAAATGACGCACACGCGCACAGACGGAGTATCAACACAAGCCCTCGCGTGGACAAGCCTCTAGCGGGTTTAAGGTTTAGGGCACTTACCTGGAGCCTACCTCCAGCTCTTTTCCTCTGTGCGAGTCCTACGTCGTGACTGTGAATGGAAACCGCTCAAGGTAGACTCAGAAGAAACCGTAGCGGTCATGCTTTCTTGCCACCCGTTTGACCTCAGATACCAGGATCGCAAGCAATGTCACTTTTCACGTCCTTACATTCACACAGACACTTACACGCAGGAATGCATGCATGTACATGGAGTTACATAACATAATTCTGGCAGCTAGGTTGTGTGTAGCAATGAGCCAGCAAGCGAAGATCAGGGAGCCAAGGCCAACTCATCGCCGTAACATGTTACGAGATTAGAGCAACAGTTTTCAGTCAAACATGGCTTGCGGGTTCAATGTCTTTTTATTTGGGGTTGTGGCCTGGCCGTTCCGATGTGTGTGTGTGTGTGCACTGCTTCTTGGACTTTGGCTTCAGACGTATACAAAGCCCGTGACAGGAACCAAAATATAATAGGGGCCTTTGTAATTAGAATAAGGTTTTGGGGCCCAGTATATTAAAGATATTTATGAGGAACCCCCCAGATAGTATAGGTAATTATTACGGCCCCTATATGATGCTAGTAATCCGGACTTTGGGGTATGATCTCTGAAAGACATGTCTGCTTACTTCGTGCTTTAACGGAGGCTCCAGCTGGAACCTGCAGGAACCAGCGTGGGTCGTCGAAGCAGGCTCCCAACACCTTTCGGTCCTCTTCCTCATACCATCAAATGGCCCTCAAACCCTAAATAGTTCGGATTCAGGGTGCACGCTGTAGGTCTTGCAGGCTTCATGGTTAGCAAAATGGTGCCTCTTTGAGTAGGTAGACAGACAAATCAATAGACTCAGTTCGGTGCCAACTCCTCGATGCCCCTTCCCGTCCAACGCGCCCAGGCCTGAAGAGATTAAGGATCAGGAGCTGTTTGGCCTAGGATTTAAGGTTTATGGTTGAGGGAGTGTGTGGTTGGCTAGACCGGGCTGCTGGATAACGAGGCCTGTTGCAAAAGGATTGAAGGCTTTGAGCGAGTAGGATATACTTTGACTTGTCCTGTATCCTTGGGAACTAAAGGATAACCACTGGGGCAAGGCTTGCCTACTCTACTACTGCATCTTGGGGTTACTGTACATATTGCAATTGAAAGGATCAGGGGACCTGGCTAGCAGGCTAGATGTTGGTGCAAAACGTGGTTTTTATGGGGCCTGGAACGGGCGAGATAGGCCCTGGTTTGGTGGCTATATGTGAATTTCCGAAAATAGGGGACCCTAATATGGCACCCTAAATAGCAGGATCCTCATTATGATGACTGCAAAGTAAGGTGCCCTAACTTTCGGAAACTTAATATAATTATGGAATGCTGGACTATGCAAGGCCTGATTGTTCAGGCATCTGTATTATGGGGCCCAGAAGAAAGCTAGGCCCAGCAGATTGTCTGTAAGACCTGGCTGTAAAGACTCTATAAGGGTGTTCGTCAAAAGGGTATAAGGGGTTTAGGGTCAGGGGGTTCGTAAAAAGGGGCCGAAGCATGTAGGGCTTTGAGTTGCAGGGCAACCCTCAAGCCCGGAAAAGGTTTCGGCCATTGAGGTGCAATCCACACGGATTTCAGAACATTCAGGTATACCGGTTCTTGGACTTGTCTACTTGCCTAGCTGATGTGTCCGGTCGTACTGCAGAGAAGAACAGACTGTCCTGCCAAGAAACTTTTTTGTGAACCCGTGCTGAGGCCAAGGCTGCCAAGAGACTTGAACCCTTAAACCAATTGAAATCCTCTATTAAACCGCTGTTACAGTCCAAGAAGCCACTAGGAACACCGTATAAAGCATATGGCCAAACCGTGAACACTTTTTGTAGCTGCTCTTTGGGCTGATCCTAAAACCCCTGAAGCCCTGACATAGGGGCCTTAATGATTGCTTATGTTATTTTGGGGGTCCCTTATTACAATGGGCCCCAAAACCCTATTCTATTCTTTTAAGGCCCCTGCAGCCCTAGGAGGTCATACCAGGGCTCCAGCCAGGGGCCGGCGCATCTTCCCTCGCCGAGGTTTCGAGAGGGCGGCCTGTCAGCTAGAATATAGGGGCCCTAATAATTAGAATAGGGTTTTTGGTGTATATCATACTATACTTACGATAAGGAACCCCAAAATACTATTATTAGGGCCCCTATATGGTTTTTAGGGTTTTGGTAGGGGCTTAGCGTTTAGTCGTCAGTGGAGTGGCACACACCAATCTAAAATGAATCCCTGTTGAAAGTTCGTTCAGGGTGCCTTGAAGCTATGAGGGTTCCTTTAAGCATTGTCTAGGCTTTCTGAAAGATGACATGCCCCCGAAAAGGTGTAAGGGGAGCACCCCCAAATAAGAGCCAAGGTTACCGAATTATTAATTAGGGCTAAACCCTAAACCCTAAACCTCGGAGTGAGTCGGAGGTTCAGGCTTCAGGTTCGCGCCAGAACCATAAAACCTTCAGGGCTCAGGGTCTAAAACCTCAATCCCTAAAGCACGTCTCAACCCCAAACCCCGAAAGGCCCTAAGCTTCAAGCGTTTAGGGTTCCCTTGAAGGGAACATAAGTTGAATCTAAGTCTTTCCTGATGGCAGGCCATAAGGGGGGTTTCAGATTCTTTGGGTAGGGATTCCTTAATATGAACCCTACTATGGGAACCCAAACCCCTACTAAACCCCCATAGGCTAAAACCCCTTTTGGCCTCCTATGATTTCCATAAGGGGCGCTGTAGCGATTAGGGTCTCGACTCTTGCAACTCGCACGCGGCAGACGAGGCTTCACGACAAGTGGTCTAATATAGGGACAAGAATGATTAGAATAAGGTTTTCGGACCATCATACTCTGCTTATGATGAAGAAGGAAACGCTAAAAATAGTAGTGGTAATTAAGTATTTAAGCACCTGTATATAGTACACGGCGGTCAGAGTGAAGTAGGATTAGGATCCCACGTGAGGTGCTGCACGGTACTGACCACAATATTTCTATGCCAGACTGAATGAGGTGCGGTAGTTCATACTTGGGCCCTCCAGTCTGTTCACTTCGGCTGGGCGAAATCTGAAACCCCACGCAGCCCAAGAATTGAAAACCTGCGGCCTCATAGAACATGACGTGCCGGTTCACCATCGGATCCTGCGACGACACATCATGAAGGTCAAAAGCCATGCCTAACCTCTGCGACAGTACTCAGATGAGTTCTGTAACAATGCGCCAAGCACAATGGCTCACAGTCGACAGTTTAGGGCTTGAGCCGATGCGTGCCAAGCGGCATACTTTCTGAGCGCCATTCGAATTTCCTTTTTCAATGGGGACTTCTCCTGTCATACAAGAGCAGGCATAGTCATATTCAACAGCCAGACAAAGTCACGAGTCACGAGCACAATCACGTCAAAGAACTTTAATCACATGAGTCACATGAGAACCACCTCCACGGCACCACCATCCTCCTCATTCAGCAACCCTAAACCCTAAACCCGGTTTGGGGATCATAGGGCCACAGGGTTTAGGGTTTGGGGTTCAGCTTCATCTGCCAGACAAATGCTAAGCGCCGTAGGAATTGGGATAGGGCTTTGGGATGTATTACAGTGTAAGTATAGCAGGAACCCTGAGGACTCGTTACTCATGCGGACTCTTCTACTGCTATGGCTACTTGCTAGTCGTCGTCGTCTTAGCTATTCATTAACCGATTTGACAGAATCGCCAGGGTACCCTGTTTCCCAATACTCGGTTTAACAAAGAGCCCCAAAATGATAGGGGTAAGGTACTACTGGGAAACCTAGGATTGCATTCGTCCCATGATTTGTCCTTCCTGCTCTGTTATCACCGCAAGCACCACGTGCAGGATTTCCCTCACCCTCCGCCCTAAGCCGAGGCCCCCCAGAACGAAGCTCTCATAGGGGCCTTAACAATCAGCAAGGGATAATATCACGAAACGTCACCATTACGATGTTTGAGGCCCCTACATTACGGATCCTACGTAAGGGCATTTCAAGACCACCCTGGTCCCCCGTCAGCCTTAAACGGGCCCTTGTGGGGGATTTTTTGGTTTAACGTAGGTTCCATGAAATGTATAACGGATTTGAAAAATGATATAAGTTAGAAGTACTCAGCGGCTCGGACAACAAAATAAATATAACATCTAAAGTTCTTCTACTGCAGCAGTCTGCCCAAGGTTGCAAATCAAAAAACTACCGACAAGGTTGCTCCACTGCCAGTTCCTGATCACGAATGTAGACGTCGGTATCATCATCAGCACCAACATATAAATTTCGTACATTCGAACCACCATCGTCTGCAGTAGCAAATGTAGGGGCCTAAATCATTGCCCATACTATGTTGGGGTTCCTGACTATGATTAAAATCTAATGGGCCCAAAACCCTGTTCTAATTAAGGCCCCTATATAGCTATGCTCATGACAATGTTCAGCATCACCAAACAAATCTCGGCCGACTTCTGAGGAGGAGTTCGAGGGTAGAGCCCTAATTTTTCAGGCTCTACCTTGAAGACGACATGAACCCCCAAAGGATTGAACAGTTTGGGGTTTAAGTTTAGGGTTTGGGATGCCATATAGGGATTCATAGTGCAAGCGTATCGGGCCCCTACTTTTAAGGGTCATTTGGTCCCTAAGTCGATGGCGTAGGGAGGAGTCGGCATGAAGGCTTTTGTTGGTTAGCTGACGTTGACAATACCTGCCTTTTTTGAGGCTCCCTGATATGATTTCTTTATATAAGTCCTTAAAACGGTAGGTTACTTGGGGTTACGGTACTTCATCAGCAAGAACAATAGTGGAAAGCCTAATCATCGGTAGTCAGTGGTACGCTATGGCACAACTCTTCGCCCACACCCCCAAATCTCGCCGAAGGCGCTGTCCAATAGGAGAAACCCGTCCCAACGGAGCTCACGAGCTTGACCTGTGGCTTTGTGCACTTTCCGACCCTTAAACCTTATGCTCCACTGCAGACTTCGCCGACTGTGAACCTCAACTAGATCCGGGAGCAAAGCCCCCGCAGGACAACAGGTTACAAACCTTGGCCTCTAGTTCCCTGGAGGTTAATGTAGGAGTGTTAATTGTGGGGGCCACACTATAATCTATAGGTATCAGGTCTCACTCAAGGTCGCTCTCTGTCTCTCTGTCTCTCTCTTTTGCGCGTGCTCATGAGGTTCTGTCAGACGCAACGCTCGTTCTCAACAGGCTCACCTCTACAACAGACGATTAGACCTATGTATCAAGCTTCAAGTTTATGCGCGTGACGCCAATCCCCCACACCTACGCAAAAGTAGCATAAACGCTGAAACGTGATTGAAATCAAATTTTTCTGCCCGTGGGATGCGTCGGGGGCTTCGGGAGATCCGGATCTGAACGAGTTGCTGGTTCGGTGCTTCCACAAGTCCGCAGCAGCAGCAACGACAACAACAAAGGAAGCAATGGTTATGATCCTAAACATCACGACATATCACGGCAACTGCAACACAACTGCAAGTGCACGATGATTGACAATAGTAGTGAACATGGCAACGACAGTTAAGTTAACTGTGCTCGTTGCAATGATGCAGGTGATTCAATGGATTCAATGGCAACGCACATCTCACTGACCTTTGGGAACGAAACATCCAAAACATCATCCGCTTCATGCTCACCGTCAGTGTCCCACCCACTCCCATAGCCTGGGGGATTTGTGCACGTATCCCGTATCCCTACAGGCTACACCCGCCACCCGGCTCTCATACAATTGGTAGTACTGTAGCATGGGACGTCGCCGGCGTGGCACCACTGCTACAGTTGCTGCTGCCATTGCGACCGCTAACCCTACAGTCTGTAGACTACGGCAACTAGTACTACGACGACGACTAGTACTACTACTGCTACTACTGCCACTACTACTACCACTATTACTACTACTACTACTACTACTACTACTACTACTACTACTACTACTACTACTACTACTACTACTACTACTACTACTACTACTACTACTACGACTACTACTTTTACTACGACTACTACGACTACTACGACTACGACTACGACGACGACGACGACGACGACGACGACGACTACTACTACTACTACTACTAGTACTAGTACCAGTACTAGTACTAGTACTAGTACTACTACTACTACTACTACTAACTACTACTACTACTACTACTACTACTACTACTACTACGACTACTCCTACTACTACTCCTACTCCTACTACTGCTACTCGTACTCCTACTACGACTACTACTACTACTACTACTACTACTACTACTGCTGCTACTACTACTACTACTACTGCTACTACTACTACTACTACTACTACTACTACTACTACTACTACTACTACCGCCACTGCCCTAAACGCTGTGGCTGCTGACGACGAGGACGACGATGTAGCGCTTTTGCCACGACTACTTCTGATCCATCTGCTGCTTCTTCTACTGCCACCGCATGCCGAAACCCGAGGTTTCGCATTCCAAAACCACAAAGCCTCAGTTCTGAAATCCAACTCCGAAGCCCTCCACCTTAAACCCTAAGCCCCAAACCCCCCGAACCCCAAGGCTCCACCCCCTGCTCACGTTTTCTTGCAAAGTCTGGGCCCTGTGCTGCGAGTCGCTTGGACTTGTCGAAGAGGAGCACCGGGCTTCGAAAGAACATGGCCTGGTTTAGGGTTTAGGGTTTAGGGAGTTGAGGGCTTAGGGTTTCGGCTGAGTGGGTCCTGGGTTCTGGCTAGGAAGTTGGGGTGCCAGGACCCCCTCCCCGTGCCCCTTCATGGAGCCGGCATTTGGGGTATGATAGAGGGTAGTTGGGGGAGTCAAGGCGTTTCAGGGTTCGGGTTTTCAGTGTGCAGGGCTTAAAGTGGGTTACAGCTCAGAATTTGGGGTTTAGGGGTGCTGGGAGCTGGAGTTTGGGATTTAGAATTGTGGGTTTCGGTATGGGTTTAGGGTCTACGAGAGTTTTAAGACTCAGACTTCGGGGGCTTGAGGTGAAGCGTTTCTGGGTTTGGGACGGTGGGGTTTAGGCCCTTCAGGGTTTAGGGTTTAGGGTCTGGGTTTGGGACGGTGGGGTTTAGGGTTACCATGTCCATTAACCTGGAAACTAGGAATGCACATGGTGGCTAATTGCCCTGTACGAACAGGCACGGAACTGCGTAGTGTCCGACGATTCCGTCCTGAAAACAAGCGTTCAGACGAGAGACAGTCCTGTTCTCCAGGACTCCAGGCGTCTGGAGGCAAGCATGACTGGATTCCTACTGTCTTGCTACACATGCAGGTCCTTTAGATTGTGCTAGCATGTGCAAGCGGGTAAGACGACCCTGCATGGCTTTGCCGCAATCTGGACGAAGCTTCCGGTGTTGCGGCACGGCAAGTGTACGACAAAGAAGCCTCCTGGCACCTTTCCAGACGCTAAGCCTCAACCCTAGGGTTTTACGGATTTTGGCGGGTATTGGGCTACAGGTAGGGGGCCTAGTTCAGAGCACAATGGCTGGGGCCTAAGATAGACATGAGCAGTGGGGGGTTTGTGCTTTGGCACTCGCATCAACAAGCCGACTGCGTGCTCGTGATTTCGGGCTTTGCGTTTTTGTTTTTTGGCTTCTGTTGGGATCCTCTCCATACAGTTACAAGGAACCCTGATACCCCACAGAACCCTTTAAGGCACCAATTGGGGAACCCTGAAAGCACCGATTACAAAACCATTCATTTAGCATATCCAGCCAAACGGCAACCAGGACCTCCCCCAGCAGATAACCCCACTAACCCTAAAACCATGTCTAAGCTTTCGACCGGGTGCCGATGCGCGCCGGCAGGAAGCAGCCAGCAAGCTTGGACAAACGTGTGTTCTAGTGCCTACAGCCGGCAAGGGTGTGGCATGCTAGTTTAAGTTTAGGGTTTAGGGTTGGGGTGTCTACCACAAATCTACACTACCCCCGGCTAGCTGCTGATGGGACCCACATCACAGGACTCCCAAACCTACCAAGTTGACTAAAGCTGTAATGGAGTTGGCTCCTGAAACAGTCTAAACCCGAAACTCAGATGATTTTTCAGTAACTATCCCGCAATCCAGCAGATTTTGGCCCGCACTTTGATCGCAACGGCAGCAATCGAAGCACCCTTTCAGCAAACATCTTGAATCCGCAACCCTTACAAATAAAAAACAAAAACCCACTGTTAATGGATTGGCAATCAGTGAAGACCAAATCCATCAAGCCTGCGAATCGCACACAGATCTAGCAACTGACCGAAGCCAAGAACCGGCACTTCTTGCACACTGGGCCTGTCTTTATCGAATGTGTGCTGATTGTGAGCTGGACGGTTCACGCAAACTCCCTTGCAAAAGACGTCCCATTGTCAGCGGGTTCCAGGATGGCCCAAGCTGGTTTAGTGATGCTTCAAGACGGCTTTGTCAGGGCTTCGTGTCGCGGTTTTGGTTTAGGGGGTTCAGCCATAGGGGTCCAGCTGTCTTGCTGCTGCAAACGACGTTAAAATGTTGCCGGTGAGCCTGCCCTGCGAGTCCATGCAGCCTGTATATCGACTCTAAAGCTCTGTATAGGAACCCCATTGAGACCAAACAAAAAAGTCTCAGGTTCTGTCCTGAAAGCTGCAACCTCATACACCGCTGCAGCCCATAGATGCGAAGATGCTTTTTACTGCGCGCGAGCTCTTTCTTCCTGACCTACCACTACAGCCAGAACCCCCTTCAGACGACTTCAGGTTGAAAGGAGGGTGCTTAGAGCTGGGTTGCTTAAGCCCTGCAGTTGTGGATGCCAATGCTAGGTCTTGCAAGCTCCCAAAGACTCTCAGTAAAATGTCCTCTCTCTGGCGCCTAGATTCGCAGGTAACTTTCCTTCCTACGAACACTCTGCCCTGTTCACAAAAGCCGGGTGCACACAGCATCAGCGCTTGCAGGATTTGATGAAGGACGTTATCAGACCTGCTCAGGTGGCTGCCAAAGAGCCAGGATGGGACTGTTCCAGGCTTTGCTATATTGGGATTAATAGTTGGACCTGCATCAAACACGTTTAATTTAAGGGGCGCTATACGAGGTACTATAACGGTTCTACCATACAGGGGCCTTCTTCTTCTTCGCACGGTGATGAGTCCCAGTCAGGACGTACCGCTAGCAGAGGATGAATTCGAGGTGAAACAAACAAAGAGCGACGAGCTCACACCTGCAGATGCAGCGGAGCTCAAAAGCCACTCTGACAGCACTCCTCCTTGCTCACGAGGGAAATCAAGGTAGAGGGCCGTTGGACGTCCGGTACGGGTGAAAGCAAAGGCTGCAACGAGCCAAGTCACGGATTGAGACAACCAAAGTCGATAGGGACCCAACGCTCGAAGCGAGCAGGATACCGGCTGCCAAAATGGTTGACATTCGATTGGTGGTGCAGGAAATCGGATCAGAAGAGAGGCGAAGGAGGAAAGTCCAACCTCATCAGCCTCAAAGTCGACGCAGAACCATCCAGGAGAATGATCTGGGAGTAGCCTATCCAAGGTGGCTTCGGTATGTCTGCCGACAGCAAGAGAGGGCAGGCGCGGAGCAAGACCAGAAAGGCACAGTGGAACAATACGCGGCCGAAACGCAGCATCTTCTGAAGCCTGTTCATACGATTTCTTGACTGCCGAGGTCCGGTCACAGAGCAAATCAATTTGCCAGCAAGCCAGAACATCATGAGCCCATTCCCTGATCTGGCCCGGTTCCAGTTCCAAGATCCACACACGCAAGGTATTAGCAAGGACTGGAAACGGCTCAACGAACTCACAAACCACATTGAAGATATGCTCATCCGATTCAAATTCCACTTCCCGTAACCTGAGAAGCAGCTCAAGGCAGAAATCCTCCTCAAGCTCAGGAACCAAATCCTCGCCAGAACCAGGCACAACAAAACTCTGAGCTGGCCCGTCTGGCATAAGGAGAGGAGGAAGCAACCCAGGCTTATTGAGGGCCACGGCCTGACAACACCGGGGTGTAACTTTCAGGTGATTCACCAACCTCCTGTGCTGCGAAAAGAGTGCGCCGCAAGCTTGACACCGGACTCCCGCAGCAAAGCGGCGAGCACGGGCTTTGTACTTGTGCGTTTTTGCAGCATGTGCCGCCCAAGCTTGGAAGTCAGAGAACGCGATCTTACAAATCGGACATCCATGGGAAAGGTTATCCAGAGCAGAGCGCTCCCTGGGCTCGGCCTCCCAACATTTCCGTATGCATGTCTCAAACTGATCCAGTGCGGCCTGCTTAGCTCCATGCCATGCAATTGCCCTCTTAATTATACCTTTCCATTTGCCAGGAGTGGCACACATGAGAGAGCGCCACTCATCCCAGCAGGAACGGATGTCTCCGAGGGGGCTAGTATTGCAGATTGCCTCTTGCAGCCAATCAATAGCCGAGTCAAAAGCTTGAAGAGCAAGAGGAGAGTTTTGCAGGAGCGCCCATGCTTCGTCCGGTGCATTGCGGACTAACTGACACAAGAACCTTTCAGAGTGTAGCAAGTCCTGCGGCGCCGGCAATCCCACACGAACAAGTATCCGCGCACGACTGACATGCTGATTGGAATCATGGGGTATCCGAAGCATGGCACGGTACATGGTGATAATGCCCCGCTCAAAGAGGCCCCAGCTCGTCTTACACAAGTATGGCCACGCCCCACACCCGGCAAGCAAAACCGAAAGCACATGCGACCTAAACAAGGCAGCTCGCCTGCGTAATGCAATACGGCAGGAGCAAAAGATAAGGCGCTGCCCTTCTCGGAAGGCCGCTCGTCCTGCTCCTAATTTTGCACGTACTTCTGCAATCATCGAACCATTGTATGTGAGGCAGGACCCCAAGTGCTTGTAGGACGCAACAGCATCTAGGCTAACCATAGGGGCATTTTCCCGAAAGACCCCAATCTTGCCCTTACCACGCGTGAACACGGCCTCTCGGACTGCCTTGGCGCCTTTGCCCGCAGGGCACACCAGGGCTGCGGTCTTACGCGGTCCTATGTTGGCCGCCAAAGCGTGCTCTGCCAAGTTGTCTAGAGTAACTCCGGCTATCCCTGAAATGGCCTTGGGCAGCTGACTGGACTCAGCACAAGCCACACATGTGGCCAGGTCGTCCGCATAAATGATGTCCTGGATATCCAGGCCTCTGGCACCAGGGGTCCGACTAGAACACGCTCTAAGCTCCCGTTTGCCCGTCCAGAAAACTCGCGGCTTCCAGCCGTCACTCGCAAAATCTCCGCGTCTTTGCAAAACCCGAAGGAAAAGCAGCGAAAACATAGCGTCAGCAAGGCACCCGCCTGGGCGGGTGCCACGGCTGGTTTGCATGATGTGATCGTCACCTTGTAGGACGAACCAAGTGTGTGCATGCATTTCTCGGGTCAGTGCATGCAATACACTGGCCCCCTGCTCAGAGGCAATGACGGGATCACTGGAGACGTAAGACTGTAATGTTTGCATATCCTCGTCCGTAAGGCCGAGCGACCTCACCACTTCTGCCAGAGGAGCATCCCCTAAGCCACCCCCAACTACCGCCTCGCGTACAACCGAGTAGTACGCCGACACCAAGTCAAGGAACAAGATCCTACAGGAGTTCGATGATGGCGGGCCTGGGCCAGGAAGCACCGACTGCAAAACGCACCAATCAAGTGCGAGGATCCCTTTCTTCCTCCCAGTAGGAGGGGGCTGGCATGCGACTCAACAGTCCGAACCACAAGCCCACGCAGGGTTTTGTGCAAGATCTTCTCAAAGACCGACTGAGCGAGGATGCCACGTTGGGACTGACACGAGAGTTTGTCCGGGACATTGGGTTTATCTATGTGAAATAAAACTCCGCCTTTCAATCCACACGGTTCCGAGGCATACATCATCGCCTTCAGAATTACTGGCCAAAACAACACTGTCAGGGGCACCGCAAAGCGCTTGCATACCGCTGGAGGCACGCAGTCTTGGCCTGCCGTCTTGTGTGGATTTACGTGTCGGAAGGCCTCAAGTACCTGACCGAAGCTCGGTAGATCCTGATACGGGATGGTCTCTAGAGGGGAGACCTGTGCTTGCCGAGATAGGCAAGAGGCCGCGAATTCCTCCGCCTGAACAACACGGCCACCTTCCATCTGAGAGAAATGCTCTCTCCATTGTTCGGTGATCTCGAGAGCCGACTGGCACATAGTCCCATCTGCTTTTCGGAGCTGGGGGAGTGGAGCAGGTCCTGCCTTTCGGAATTTCTTGGGGCGCAGCAATTTCTTCAAGGCAGTATGCACGTGGGCCGCTTCAGCTCTCTCGACATCATCCGCCAAGGACTCGATGAACCCACGTTTGTCACGCCTACAGCGCTTGCGAAGCGCATTTCCCAGTTCTCCAATCTGGCTACCAAGCAGCCCAATCGTCAGGCGAAGTTGGCCCGTCCATGGGCTCTCAAGGATGGTAGAAAAATCCTGCCTCGACGTCCAGGCCAAAAATGCGCACCGCAACCTAGCCAAGCGCATACCTGCAAGCCTGTTTCGTAGTGCATGACGCAGTATAGCCAAGGCTCGATGCATGTCCCCAGCCTCGGCAGACAAAAAGGAAGCTCGCATGCGGCGACCGCGCAAGGGAAAGGCTCCGGAAAGTTCCTCAAAAATATAGTTGACGAGCTGGGAGGCATGCTCGTTCACGTTGGTGTCCCAATGATTTTTGGGCACCTTGGCCAGAATCTGGCCAATCTTCTCCTCATTGCTTGAATCCAGAAGTGCCAGCGGATCAATCCGGGGTGCTGATACCTTGCGACGGGCCTCAATGGTCCAAGACACATGTGCAATGGCCGCAAGGTGATCCATACAAGCATGTCCCGCGGAGATGCTAGGTTCAACCCATGCTTGCACGACACACTGTCTCCAATCCATTGGCAGACAGACGTAATCACTTCTCTGGAGCTCCTTAGAGACCCGCTGATACAAGGTACCTCCGCACCCTGTCATGGTCTCGGCAAAAGAGCACGGCAGCCACATGTCGAACTCACGCAGAAGATCGTGCAACATGGCTCCAATGTCGTCCTGTGGGTCACTCTGGAAAGAGCCGACGTAGGCAGACTCCAAGTCCCCAAGCCGGCAGTTGGCATCGAGTAATCCCAACCATCTACACTTTGTCCCAAGACGACGACAAATGTCGTTGGTGGCAGTCCACCAGGCTTCGCGGTTCTCGAAACTGTGAGCCCTCTATGGGGCGCGTGCCCACATAGAACATGCAGCGTCTGGCCGCCAAAGCATAGTTTAAGGATCAAGCGCGTCGGATCTGCATGGAGTACTGCTGCCTGATGCGGTGGCCATCCATCACTCTTGGCAACCCAAATTTCCACGCCAAAAGCATGTTGCTCGGTGCACCCCGAGCAGTAACGGACAAAGTGCTCCTGTTGGCGAGTGCCGCGCGGGGTGCGCGTTTCTTGGAGTCCAGCGATATAAACGCGCTGGGCCTGCAAGGTTTGCGCAAGCAGCCCAACTCTGCCTGCCGCGCCATGAAGCCCTCCGCCAGCCGCTGAAGTCGACCGAGAGGGCTCCAGCAACGAGAGCGCATTGAAGGTAACACAGCAGAAGGCAAAACTAACCGCAGGGCGCTTCGGAGTGTCCCAGCGTGGGATGGCACGCAAGAAGGGGGCCATGAGTTCCTGTCCACTGCACTGGGTACCGGGCTCCTGGAGGCTCCAGGTGATGACATCATGCTGCAAGCCCGGAAGCACGTCAGGCCTGGTCCTCTGCATGCAGAGGTGTGGGAGCCACTGGAAAGGCCCACCGCCCTCACCAAACCATCGGTTGAGACAAATGCGGAGACAGAAAAGGCAGGGGAAGTCCCTGGCGCCCAGAGCAGCTAGCCCATCAGCCAGTTCATTAGCGGGATCGCCGCTGTGTCCTGCCACATAATCGTAGGTGGTCATACCATCTCGCATCAATTGTAGAGAAAGATGCAGAGAAGCAACCGCAGCACCAAGAGGGTGGTCCCTCATGCGCATACTACCACTGGCGCCAAATAGAGCAGCTTGATTGTCGGCACGGCATATGAAACGTCCTGCAACCGGAAGTCGCAGCGCTAAGAGAGCGCCCCAAAAGAGCCCTGCAAGCTCTGCCAAGTAGGGGCTGTTTGCCCCGAAGGCTGGCCCGATTGCCTCCTGCAAAGGTGACAGAGAACCGAAAAAGCAGCCAATGTACCTGCCCGGAAAGTCGTGATCCGGCATATCAAGAACACTGATCACAACCGCCCATCCTGCCTGGCCTGTGTCCGGTGAGAACGACCCGTCCGAAGTGATGACAACTGTGCTATCTGGCCCCGGGGTGAATCCTTGTGCCCCAAGGTCAACCCAGGACGCAAATCTCCCTGCATCAGGCACCTGGTCCGGCGGCGCTGCAAAATCCTTACAGTCAACCGGGGCAAGCAGCTCATCGAGATCGGAAGCCGACACAGGTATCAAACATTGCCCAACATCCAATTGAAACATCTCTGGGGCCGAACTAGCACCAACTTCAACACCGACGTCAGCACTTGGCAACAGCTCATCCAGTTTCAAAGTGCAAGCATCTCGGCTGATCCCTGCAACCTGAGGATCCTTCTTGTTTCCACCGGCCTGCTCAAACAAGACCTCAAGTAAGGTGCAAGCCAGCATCATAGCCTCATTCCCCGGACTTCTGAGGCTACATTCAAGCAAGGTAGGACCAACTCCTATGGACATGGAGTCCACCGCATGCGATCTTGGAGCAGCCCTGCAAGGAGTAGCAACAGCACGTGCACACCTTGAGAAACTCCCACCGGGATCCGCAGAGTCCTCGCGACAATGAGACAGAGGGAGGAAAGAGGTGGGGCACAGGGGCTCAGAAAGATGAGCGGAATCAGTTGTACCTGCGCTCCACATTGCTACTCGACCTTGTGTCTCTTGACTGTCACCGACGGGACGTCGGAAGCCGACACTCAAATGCATCGCAACCGTACGTTCAGCAAGCAATAAGCCAATGAGGACCCAAATATAGGGTGTTCGGAACCCTAGCACGATGGCACGCCAGAATGCCATGGAGAATCCGATGGTGATCATCAGCAAGCCTGTAACTTCCTCTGAGATCAGCTGCACACCGGGACCTCGAGGAGATCGACTACGATCTTCATCATTATCTTCCCTATGGCCTGGAGGGGTATCTACTAATCGTTCTTCCTGCTCCTCCAAATTTTCTGGCTCTTCCTCATTCCAGACCCGCTCGCCAGCAAACAGGTCAGCTACAAACTCAACCCGCAACACTTGACCCGCGGCGCAGACACAAAATGCATCTCCGTTCTGGACTTCGATCCTTCCCCCAGTGACTACTGCAGCATAGCCGTCTGGACACAGGGGACGGAACTGTCGAAGAAGCACCGGCTTGGCGATTCGGTCTGTCTCCAGCATACGCCATTCAATGCCATGCAAGATTCGCCGAAGGTCAATCACAATCGGCGTTTGAGCAAATGGACGCGGCATGGTACGGCAGATGTTAGTGGTAGCAACTAGCACTGCACAACTCGTCCATCCAAGGTAGGAGTGGTCATGGGCCCGAGGCAGAGCTGCTCGGATGGTGAGCGTGCTAGCCTCCACCTCCATATGTTCGGCAATCGCAACACGAAGCTGTCTGCTGCCACCGTCGGGAAGCGGAAGCCGAAACTCATCATAGTCCACTAGCACCCAAAATCCAAGCTCACCTGGAGTCTCAAATCCTTCAGGGGGATCCCAATTATTCGGTTCCTGCAACAGATCCTCAAACTCAAACCCGAATTCAGAAAATCTGCCAAAGGTAACCAGGGTAATAACATCTCCTGTGTGAAGCTCCACGGCCTGCCTGGGGCCAAGGGCCCAAGGGTGCGACGGTGCGACGAGACGAACACATGGAGTTGTGCTCCAGTACCGAGCCCAGCTAACACAAGGATGTCCTCTCTGCGGAGCACCGCAGACACAGAGAGAGCGAAAGCCGTCCCATTGAAAAAGCGACAATCAAACAAGACTATCGTATGCGAATGCGCCCAGGGTGGAAATGCCAACAAAGCACCAACTGCACGTGAAGGTTGCCGTGCCACAACACACAGATCAGGGAAGCTGAGGCCGTAGTTCTCATCACGGACCTCGGCAATATGATCCAGGATCGCTTCCAGAGTGTGAGGGCCTGCAACTGCAACCTGCACTGTTTCCGGACAATAGTCAGGCTTGAAGATCAGAAAGGTGATGGTCCTTGGCTGTTGCGGTGGGGCAGCGACTGTGATCGGGGCATCCTGCTCCCAGGTGGGAGGAAGCATGGGGGTGGCGTCCCATGGCCATTCAGTATAACCAAGTCCCCGCAGATGTCGTGAGTCCCCGCGCTCTGACAGGAGGTCACCCACACGATCATATCTTAGGAACCCTTGCACCGGTTAGGGGAGCTTAAACCCAAGGGGAAGGGTAAGGGACTGGGCTGCATGCACCACGCAAAGAGATCAACACACAGTCGACTAAGCTGACCCTTGTGCATCCGATCACAGTGGAGCAGCTCCTGCCAATGTTGAGTGATAGATTTCTCTCGCACGAGATCATCGGCCAACAACATGGCCCCAACAGGAGAAGGCTCGCCGGGATGCCTATCACAACTCTCAACAACCGACGTCCTGGTCGTGCACCGGTGCTCAGGCGGATCTTGCCGTCCGTCGCTGCTGTCATCATCATCATCTGAGGAACCGTCCGAGGCAGGATCAGTTCCTCCCGAAGAGGGAGGATCCTCCGATGCAGTGTCCAATCGCTCGGGAACGACAGCGGAGAAGGCCAGGGTGGTACTGCCATGCACATACACATCAGGCCACACTAATCTTCCCCCTTTAACAACAACCTCATATCCTGCCGGAATGCGAACTTTAGCGTATGCAAACACACTAGGCACATGTACAGCCAGCGAGTGCGAGAAGTATGAAATCGGTCGCAATCCCAGTCCTCGCAAGTCACACAGCACGAAAACATCTCGGCGCTGCCAGGTGTCCGCCTCCTGGAAAGTCGGGTTAGGAAGTCGGGCAACTTGAAGGACCCCACTGCAAGTGCTTCCTTGCACATCCAGATCGGCAAGCGGGCTAAAGGAACAAGTCAGGCTCTCCGCCTGCAAATCCAAAAGCCTACTAACTGCTTCCAGCACAGTGCGTCCCGGCACATGTCTCTCGTACAACACAAAACGCTCTCCCTCAAAGGTAACGCAGAAGCCAGGTGTGACAAACTCACGTGGGATGTGTCGCAAGGGGCTCCATCTAAGGCCAGGCTCGAGTAAGTGGTCAATGCCGAGAAAGGGGAAGGGAGAGATCCCTTCCTGCAACACTGTGATAACATCTCCTGCCTCAAGAGAAATGTCTTCATCAAAAGGGGCCGGGACCATGCGACCGCCAACAAAGATGCGAAACACATCAATTGCCGCGCTAGTGTGTGGCAAAATGAAAGTTTCGATATCATCATAGCTTATCCTGCTAGGCAGGATAGTGGCAAAGTAGTGGCCACCTGCACGCGAGATGTCCATGACCACAGGAACATGCCCCCTCGGCCCAAACTGCAAAACAACACTCGGGAAAGCCACCACCATTGCATAACCGCGGTGTCGTTGCGGCCGGATGGGAGCCACTGAGTCGCAAAAGCCCGCCCCAATGGCATGCTTGAGATCCAACACGTCAGCAAGGAGCCCATCAACACCTCGCCTCCTGTCAAACATGATGGCCCATGTGCTCGGCTGAAAGTGAGGGGCGAGAACTATGAGGCCCAACCAATCCAAGGAAGGCCCGCCATCATCCACACCGGATGGGAGTGGCAGGCTTAGGAAAGGTGGCATGACATTGGCCCCATTATGTCCATTCACCTCTCCTCGGACAGGCCAAGCAAGGGTTTCAACCGCTATTGGTGTGCCAGCACTCTCCGAAACAGCCTCCGTGACAGGGGCCGCCGGAGTCGCGAAGACATCGGCATTGCTAGACGCCGCCATCGTATCAGTCCCAATGTCACTCATGTCTCCATCATGCGTAGGGAGTCCCATGGACTCCGGAGCTCCAAAAACCTCTTCCATGGCACCTACCCCAGGCAAAAAGACCGGCAAGCCTAACCAACAGAGTGCCTTGGGTATTTCACTGCTGGGCTGCAGCAAGCACACATTGTTGAAGGGCAGCATGCAAGCCGCCCAAAATCGGCTCCAAAAACCGAGTGCTCGCCGCCTATTGCCACAACTTGCACTCCGGTTGCTCGGCCTACATGCCGCCTGCTGCCATGGAAGCGGTCCCGAATGAACATCCACAGCAGCTGCAATGCCTAACACCAAGGAAGTCCTGCGTATTTCGGATGCAGTGCGTCCGAGTAGCCTGCGGCATAAGCCTCCATGAGAAGCGAGGGCAAGCTCACACAGCTGTACCACGACCAGCACACAAATCATGCAAAGGATGGAACTGATCTGCTGCTGAACCCATGTGCTGAACTCACCTTGCACCTCCACCCGGGTCTCATAAATCCAAGGAGGCACGCAGCCGTATACACTGCCGACAAGTAACATGTACCGCCCAGTGGAACAGTGGTCAAAATGCACACTCGGGCACAACATCGACCGAAGGAGGGGACCCCGGCAACCCGACAGCCAAGATCCAAAGAAACGTCCTTTCTCCATAAGGTGTCTCCAAGCTACACCGGCATTTGCAATGACTTGCCCCGTGCCCCAAGGACCAAAGCTGCAACAGCATGCAGTACCAATGGTAGCTGCAGAAAACAAGAGGCAAGCAGCCCCCCAAGCGCGGCAAGAAATCCAAATCAACAGGCAAGTCTCTGCTTTCCTTACCGCTGGGCATAGTCCATCTCTATGAGTGCTGAACGAGAGCCGTGCCAGGAGAGGGCAGCCAAAAGCCAAGGCGCCTTGACAACTCCTGAGACTCGCTGATGACTCTACTCGCAGATCGTCCGCACAGGGCTCAGCTTGGCTCGCCCGGAAACAATCCAGGCGATCAGCTAACCGATTCATGTCATCAAATCCACCGGCCAAATCCAAAACTCCGGTAGGAACCAAAGGGGCAGAGCAAACAGTGAGAGTGAAGCTCCAATTCATACAGCATGTCACCGAGGATCCAAAAGACCGAAAGCAATCCAGGCAAAGCCACTGTACACCCTGTACATAAGCTCGACCTAACACTGCCTGACCGGCAAAAGCACATTCTCCATCATAACGTGCCGCGAACCACCCGCCATTCGGCAACCAGAACCAATCCAGCTTCTGCCCCGTCAGAAACTGATCGGCCCAAGTGCCTGCAAGGAGGGAGTCACAGCACGTCCTGAAGGAGAAGGCCGTCGCTCGCAGCCTCAGCCGGCCTCGCCTTCGGATTGGGTGTCGCCATGCTCGTCCCCTTCCAACTCGTTGTCGTCGTCCAAGAAGGAAGGGCGGAGGCCCGCAGACCTTAGTGCATCGCCGACCAGGTCGTCCGATAGACCGTCCACCAGTCTCTCGCCTGGGGGTGACAGTCCTGGTGGTGGCGCCCCTGTTGGAATCGTAGCTGGGAGTCCAAACGGTCTCAAAGCCAATCTTTCCTGCTGTCGCCTCTCTTCCAACTTGCTTTGCAGTGAGGGCCCAGAAACCGGAGTAGGTCCCGGCTTTGTTAACGACTTCACTGGCGTGCGGGTTTTGGTAGCACCAAGTAAACTTGAAGCAAGCGGCGAGCTCATCGATATGTGCGGTGCTGCCGGTGAGTGCATGTAGGGATCCTTCCTCAGCTCGCCAGTCAATGTATAGAGCTGAGGATCCGCTGCTGAGGCACTGGAATCCACTGGTCGCGGCTCCGGGTTCACCGGCCCGAAAGCTGCACCAACCGCTGAACCTTCCACTCCGGCTGCTGTTCTGGTTGGTTCTGGAACCGGAGCAGGCAAGGGAGGTGCCTGGAAAGTCGGGGGAGCCATCTGCGGGATCTGAGGTCCCATTGGAGCCATCTGTGCCTGAAGCATCTGTCCAACCATCGGAAACCCCGAAGCTGCAGCCAAGGCATCCCGAAGGAAGCCGGTTGGGGCTTCGGTGGTAGCCGCCATCATCTCGTCCCATACTGTATCCACCTCGGTCTGCGAGGAGGAGGCCCTGTCGCGTAGTGCACCTCCAAGTACCAATCTCCTCACTTCCGCAGCAGAAGTCTGCCCATTCTCGATGATCTGCTGTCTCTCGTTCTCCAATCGCTGAAGGTCCTGCTCGAAATTCTTCTTCTGCCTGGCAACCTTCTCCTTCATCGACTTGAAAAACTGCTCGAACTGTCTCTTCTTGCGGATTTGCTCCTCCGCGATTTTCCGCAAGCGAACGTCCGCCTTTCGGGAGGCAGATACCGCTTTCTGAACCGCTTGCAAGCGTTGTGAATCCTCCGAAACTTCCGTGCTGACTAACTGCAGAGCGGGTCCGCCACGTCCTACAGAGTCTTCGTCCAGCACCGGGGCGGCATCGTAACGAGCATCCTCGCCCTGACGTCCATAGCCCTGCCCATAAGCAGAGTGCCACGAGCCTGGCCAGTAGCCCCACTTTGCATTGGGGCTCTGCCCTTTGGGCTCGGACTTCCATCCCTGTTTGTCCTCTTGCCATCCGTTGCGAGGTCGTCCGCCTCGGCCCATTCCCTGCAGTTCAAAGTACAGAGGCCGGGTGTGATGGCCTGCAAGGGACAATAAGTCCTGCAGACAGGGGTCCTTGGACTTACGGCGTCCGGTGTGAATCCGTAGGCGTGCTCTATGGCGACTCCTACGCTGATTGCGGTGCCAAGTGGGCGATTTCGCCGTGGCACAAAATGTCGTGCTCCTTTCAAGCACTGGGGCTGTCTCGGCAATGGCGCTACACGCCTCGATCCGATAACCCTATACAGGGGCCTTTATAATTAGCATAGGGTTTTGGGGGGGCTTCTATACCACACGTCTACTTAGGAGGACGAAGGAATAGTATTGGTGTTTCTTTGCCCGTAGCCGAAAATGAAAAGACCTACCTGTTTAGAAACCTATATGGAAGTCAAAATTAGGTCTTTTCGGCTACAGAAAAAGCTTCCATATTGGCTGTTGTTGCGTCTTGCAGGATCTAGCGCAAGCCGGCCTCAAGGTGTGGAGCTTGATTCAAACCGGGCGTCAGGCCTAAACAGAAAGGACACCATAGACAACCTGCGCAACACTTGCCAAACCGGCCTCAAAGGAACCTTTAAAGGAATCCTTAAGGTAAGCCCTGAGAGCACATAGAGCCTCAGGTAGGAGTTAGGATTAGGGAGACCCTTGAGGATATGGAACCTCTAGCTGGCCAGGAAATCTCCTTCACAGTTCCGTGGCTCGGGCTCCCTGGTGTACATGGGACTATCCGAAGGGGACCCTCATAAAATAACCTAAAATAGCAGGATCCTTGTCATAAGGACCACAAAATGAGCTACCCCTAATTGTCGAAAACTCCTACATATGCCCAAGCCCACGAGGCGAATAAGCCTCAGCATGCCTTGCCTACGTGGAGGATCATGGGACTTAGTAAGTAAGGTTATAAGTACCGTAATCGGGCTTATAAGTACTTATAAGTATTTCTACCCTAATTATAACCCTAGTTACTAAGTCCCATGATCCTTTAAGTAATACCCTATACCCAAAACCTACTTGTCGGGTATCATGGGGAACTAAAGGTGAACCTTTTTGGTTACATAGGGATTCTATAGGGACTATACTACCCAAAAAAGTTACGGTTAAAGGTTGCCTACTCTACTCCTAGGAAAATGCCTTGAACCACCTATGAACCCTGATGCATTTGGGGATTCTACACTCAAAGGGTAAAAGGGGGGACCCCTAATAAGGACCCCTAGGTATATACCCATAATATAACAATTATATACCCATTATATGGCCCATTATAGGGTAGGGGTGCCCATGAAGGGTCCCTCCTTTTCCCGTTTGATACACCCCCGAAGATGACAAAGACAGTCGTGAGCTCCCAGGGCCCTCGGCTCTATGTCTTAGGTACTGCCCCCTTACAGTAAGAGTCGATAATAGGGCTTCTATTAAGGTCCTAATATATCTATAATATGAATATTATTCAACTATTACTGGGTGGGGGCCGTACCCAATCTATATCCCACAGTTTCTTGGCACACCCCCCAAACAAAGTTACATACCGGAAGCGCACTTCTTTAGGACTTTAGGGCCTTAATCAACCAGACTAGGGCCTAGGGCTCTCTTGGGGGGTTTACCGTGACCCTAGACCGCATTCTTCCCCCCCGCAAAACCACCCGGCGCCGGTCCTGAATAGTCCGCCTCTCCCTCGAACTTTGGCCTGCAATAGTGGATCCTACACTTTGGGGTGCTATACTCGGGTCCCACATTTTCGGAAAAACTCCCGTGTTTATACAAAGACTATAGGAGGCCACTTCGGATTCGTGGAAGTTCAGGTCAGGCTTAGGGTTTGCGGTTTAGCGGTTAATGTTAAGGTTGGTTTAGGGATTGAACCCTAAACCCCAAACTCTTAGCCTTTGGGGTGTGAGGAGGATTACGAAACTTGCGGTTGGGTTCCGGGCGTATCAGAACGGGGGGCTTTCGAGCTGTGGGGTTTTCGGGTAAGTTTAGGGCTTCACGGTATTTAAACGGTAAAGGCTGCAGAGACGGAACCGTGTAAAGACGCGTGAAATCCTCAATCCACACCGCGACAGGACCAGGCAAAACTTGCTTGAAACCTAAAGGCCTAGCCACTTCCCCCCAAACCCCAAGAAAGCCTAGGATTCCATCCCTAAACCCCAAACCCTAAACCTCTATAGAACCCAAGAAGGATGCCTGAGATCCCCAAATGGCACCCTGTGCCCAGAGACTCCGTAAGGAACATACCGTAGGATTTCCAGTACGATTGGAGGAACATTCCTTAATTCATTAAGGGATATTGGAGTCTCTGGATTATAATATATATATATATATATATATATATATGTAATATGTATATATCTGGGGTTTCGGGTTTCCTTTGGGCCTGAAGGATTCCATCACTTTCTGTTTCACTGCCGGCTCCGCGATGCATAGAAACCTCGGCCAAGAGCAAAACGTGTTTTGAGGGTTTAG